AAGCTGTGAAATCGAAAGTCTCAAACATGACTAAGAACTTTAGTAATTATAAGAGAACAGTTATCATTTTATTTCGTAGTAAGTATAAATGCAAATCAGAGACAGCTAAAAGGCAATTGCGAAAATCACACACAACATAAGCATCAAATTAGAGCAATGTATGTATAACCTAGCACAGATCTGCTACCAAACCAAACTTCAACCAATCAAAAGCAAAATTACACGACGACCTAGGGTTCTAACCAGTTAACTTCAGATCGAGAAACGTACCTGATCAACAAATCGCCTTTAAAACCCTACCTTATCAAGCTGCAAAACCACAACAGAATTCAACTAGTAGAAAACCGGAAGAAATTATCGAAAACATAGAGATTGAAGCCAAAATTATGATCGAAATGATACCTTGAACTGAAGCATGAAGCCAACTTCGCCTCTATTTTCTCTCCGAGCAACCACAACGGTGGTTTTTAGCATTTCCATCCCCCATTCTAAGTGACGTGTGCCATGCCACTCAAACTAACAAAAGACTTTCCAAATTTCATTTCTCTAACGACCTTTGCAATATCAGTTGGTATCTTCTGATCATTTTATATTATTTTATGAAAATAGTATTATTATTTATATTAGAATTCTATATTAGTTATATATTTATTAGTAAATATTTATTATTTAAAATAACAAAAAAATTAAATAAAAATATAAAATAGTTGTTGATATGACAATAAATATTTCTGAAAGATTGTTAGACATTGCACACGATATAGAGTTCAATTACAAAAACTAACATGACACATATATAAGAATCATGGCATTTTACCAATATAGATGGTTCTGTAGGTGTATCTTGCTTTGCATATAGTTTTTGGGAGATTGGGAGCAACAAAGCCAGTATAAAACAAAATTAATGGAGTTCCCCGTTGAATTGATTTATTTTTTATGATAATTACCAAAATGATCATTTTTTCTAAACTTTTTTCAGAATTTCAATAATAATCACCAAGTTTGAAATTAAGTCTAATTGTGAATTGCAAAGTCCCAAAAATGGTCCCCCAAAATAGAGTGCGTTGAATGCGGTTTAGTTGATAGTTGTTATGTCCTAGTTTAACCATTTTTTAGATCATCTTGGTTTTATAAATGTCTCATTAGTCATTACGGGTTGCGACCATCGAGGATTCAATAATTAGTCTACGAATGGAGTTTTTCTATTGCAATGAGACTAGAGAGTCGATGTCGCACATGTGCCACCACCACCATTATCAAGGTGAATTACATTGGCGGATAATATCATGAACTTAATTCTAACTCACCTACAACTGATTGTGGATCATTGTGAGACCATAATAGCTAAAGCCTTGTGTGACATTTAGGATCTCAAATTTTTCATGAATGACTATCTATAAGTGTATCCTATATCTTAAAACTAGGGATGAGCACCAGTTCCGATCCGGACCGAAAACTGAATACCCGAAAACCGAAATGCACAAGGAATACAGGACTAAGACCAGATCGGTTAAGAGGATGCCGGTTTCGGTTCTCGGTTCCAAACCAAGGTCAGCCCATGAAATGTCGGTTCCAGACCCGGGAATTGAATACCTGAAAACCAAAGAAGTAGATATCTTGGAACCAAGAACCGCCCTGATAATATGTAATTCCGGTCTAGTCAGGGGCTGAGGCCGGTTCTGGTTCAGTTTTTTTTTCCAGTCTGGTACGGTTCCATTGCATCAAATGTTCATCCTAATTACAATATATTTGTTGTTGTATTTTTGCTAAAACATTATTTGATTTTGTTTATCTATATATTATGTTGGTTAAATAATTTCTAAAAATATCTTATTTATCAACATGAATTTGTATATGTTACAAAAGTTTCCAACATATTTCATTAATATCCAACATGATGTTCAAAGTTTTAGGAATAACTATCTACTTTTTGGACGATAACAACTCGCGAGAAAGATCGTCTCCGACACTTCCATATGAGTTGTCATCAAACCAAACCAAAAAGTAGATACTGTTTCCCAAATCTTTGGAATCATTAGATGTTTGCTCATCATTACTTTAATCATTTTTAGCTAATAAGAACGATTAAGGTGTTCCTAATCCTTGCCATTCCCATCATTTCTAGTTTCAAGCTCATTCTTCTTGGTTTGATGGTAACTCAGGTGGTCGTAAGCACAAATTTTTCTGTAGTTCATCATTGCTCATAGGTTGTTTAAAGGTTATTTCCCGTCTCCACCAACTTATTTACTCCTTAATCATTAGCACAAAAGGTTCACGAATTTATTGCATTCCACATACTATTCACGTTACAAAATTGGCATGAAAGAATAAATCGCGAATTTATAGAATCTCACACACAAGTTCCACACTCATTTTACCCAAAAAAAGGTACAAAACGACACTACTTCACAACACAAAACTCAACATCAAAGAAAACACTTGTCACAATTAACAGGAAGAAGGGGAAAACTCTATTGTGTCATCCGAAAGAGATGGAGTGGTGATGGAGTTTGGCAAGACTCTGTCAGTAGTTTTCCTAACACCCCGTTCCCGAGTTGAACTTAACGAGAGAAAAGAAAGGAAATGGGTGGAAATGAGAAGAAAATAAAAGAAATTGGTGTTCCCCAGTTTCATTAAAGGAGGGAAGTGGAAGGAAGTAGAGAGAAATGGGAGGATCACTTTCCCTCCTAACTTTCCTTCCGATTTGGGAGGATTTGGAAAGAAAGAACAAAATGATTCATTTTCCTTTCACTTCTCTCCAACTCGGGAACACAAAAAAAAAATTGTTTTCCTTTTCTTTCTCTTCTTTTCTCTCATGACTTTCTTTTCTCTTCTCTTCTTTTCTTTTGTTAAACTCGGGAACGAGGCGTAAATGTTAATATCCTACGCACCAATTTTAAACAATGTATAAAACTTTCAATATATTTTTAAGATATATTGTATGGTCTATTTTCGTTAAAACTCCAACCACTTATAAAAGACCAAATATATGAAAACTTCATGAAAAATTCAATGAAATTCATTTTTCGATAATGAACTCTTGTATTTCTATACCAGTATGCCTAGCACCACCTTGTACTCTCACCAACACTTGATCACCAATCTTTAGTGACGTCACTGGAATTGCTGTTGCTTCATTTCCTCCACCTGTCACCAAATAAGTATATTATATTATTATAATTATTATAATATAAAACAAACCTCAAAAATACACACCTTTTATAGGAGGTACAAATCCAACAGTCTCTGCATTTTGTAGAAGAATGCTGTAACAAGTTTCCTTGTCAGAATCAACCTGTTGTTATACATATTTTAAACTAGTTAAAAAAATAAATTGCCATGTCAGCATTCCACCAACTATTTGAGATGAAATTATTAAACCTTTGCATCAACAATGATTAAAGGTCGTGTCTCGATTTTTACACGTCCAACTACAGCTGTTCTTTGTATACCACTTTGATCAGCAACAAGAACCTCTTTCCCTGCCTTCAGCTCTGAAAGGTAGCATGTTTTGCCACCAGGAACTGCCACGTAAGCATGCACTGGCCCCTGAAAATATTCCCAAGAAATAAGTTTTTAATATAACTAGAAAATGGTAACTTATATAATTTATATAATAAAATACCTCCGAAATAGAAACTCACTGCGTTAACTCGGAAAGGTCTGCTGGCAATATAGTTTGACTCTAGGCACTCTGAGTGAACAAGGAATAATCCTCTTGCAAAAGATCCAACCTACATCATAAGGATAAGGGCATTAATGTCTTTTCCACAAATGAGAGATTGAGACTATGCAGTACAACATATTATGTATTGTACTGAATGCCAAGTCATGTCTAGTCATGTTATGTTCTGTCACATCATAACAAGTCATGTCATGACTGCCAAATACAATACGTGTCTAACTATCTGATATCATGTCATGTCAGATCAGATAATGTCATGCAGTACAGCCTGTTCTGTTTTGTTATGTCCTTTATTAGAAAAAAACACAACACAAGAAAGAAGGATTGAGAGTACCAAAAGGCCTTCACCAGGTCTCATGAGGCTGCAAAGATCAACACAAACTCTATCTCCCATTCCAGTCATTTCAACTCGAGTAATGGTAGCTTTGGTCAAATCCAATAGGCTGCCTTCTTTATTTCTTTTATCAAAATATTCCTGATATTAATATGAATTATGTAAGAAAGCATGAATTATAGAGACTTTATGGGTATTAAAAAATGTACCTTTAGCTCAAGGACAGTTTCAACATCTTCAGTTTTCAAAACTACTCCCCCTAAACCTTGCTCCAATGCCTACAAAAGGCAAATAATATCAGATAATTACAATGTGAAATTGTCTTGAAAATTTGCACATCCTTTTGTAAGTATAGCAACCTTTGGTTTATAAGGTTTACCTCTAAGAATATTTGAGCTTCTGAGAGACTTTTTGAGATGGCAAAGACTGTTTTGTGAGTGCCATGAAATGCTGCAACAATGTTCTCTGCAGGAATCACCTGAAAAAACATAAGTGATAACAAAATAAGTAAGGATAAGTCTTATGATCTTTAAGCTTCCATATAGACCTGTTATACTAATATATGTTTGTATAAAACATACAAAATAAACAAGTGTAAATGACATAAATTGTCTGCAATCTTGCTGATAACATATAGAATAAGATTGAAAGGGATGATGCATATATACCTGCCAATCCAATAGATCAACAATAATGTTATCTGCATGCTCATAAGCTGGCTGGAGTTGCTCCAATTCTTGGGGAGAAGATATTTCAGAAATTGTGGCAACCAATTTAGCCTTGTTGTCAAAAAGACTCTTGTCTTCAATGAAGATGGGATTTATCAATGCTATTGCTGCATGTAGAAACAATGAAATCAGGATGGATGAAAATCGTTTCTTGGAATTTACCACATTCATATGTTCATAACTTCTCACAATATGTGATTTGTGGGAAATGTCAATGTAGGTGTGGAAAAGGAATGGGAAGATTTACAACATGACATAAAGGTTTAGCAATCAGTAACTCATGGTGAATCCTATAAGAGTTTCTAAAGAAATTAAGCTAAAATGGATAATGCGTTGCTAGCATCTATGATCTAACCTACGCTGAAAGCTATTTAGGGGCATCCGATTAAGCTTTTGAGAGGAAAATCCATATAAAAACAAATCGATCCATATAATTATGAAAATTTCCTACATAACAACTGAAGTCCCGAGTGTATCTCCCTTTAGAAGCAAGTAACTAACAATATCAGTAGACTTACAAGACCAATCAGTAGCGAGCTGGCGATGAATAGAAGAGAAGATGAACGTGGTCCAACCCCTTTCAACAGCTGCCGTCATAACCTGCTTGTTCTCCGTCCATATCCATACCTCCTTCTTCTTCTTCTTCTCCATCGACATTGTTACAATCACACCGCTCCTAAATCGTGAAATGCGCTTACCACAGTTGCTTCTGACAGCACAATTGATTAATCTACGAGTCGTCAATTTGCCTAAGGACAACAAATAACATGATTAAATGCATAATCCAATGAATCGAGTAACTAATTGCACAAAGATAAACGAAGAGCAACCTCGAGAGAACCTGTAATGGTGATGAATGGGGAAGAAGGGGGAGAAGAAAGCGATAGAGTAGCCATTCCTGTGTTTGCTATTTCCAGTATTTTAACTCCTTGTTGGGTTTGCTGTAAGGACAAATGTATATAAAATAAAATAAATAAATAAAAAGATGTTATAAATCAATATCTCAAAAAGCTTTTATATTAATCGTTAGAAAAACAAACTAATTATTGATAAACACAAACAACAAATTAAATGATATATTGGGTATAAAAATATAAAAATATAAAGAAATCAAATATGAACAAAATCAAAGTTAATTTTCATTTTCATTTTCCCTGACATTAATAATCCTTTCCTCCTAAACTAGGTTGGAATCCATCCATCTCTACTTCTTTATTTTTCTTTTAGCAAGTACTGCTATGCTGCAGCCCCTTTCAAACTTTTATTTTATAATTTACAACAAAATTTAATTTTTTTCATAAATTTGATTAATTTTTTTAATAATTACGTCATTTTTTAGTTATAACTTTTATCAATTTTAATGAATTTTATAGATGTGATATAAATATGTTTAGAATCTTTCGTTAACTTCTTTTATAAATTTACTTTTTTTAAGCAAGTCTTTTTAAAACAAAAATTAAAAAAAAAAATTTAATTTTTTTTTCAAATCTAATTACACAACTTATTTTACATATTCTTTTGTACGTTTGTTTATAAAAAATTTAAATACTTTTTTTATAGACTTTGAACATTTTTTTTTTCTTTTTTACAAATTAAAACACTATTTCTATTAAAAAAATTAAAACACAAAATTTAATCAACTCTTGATTTTGTTTATATATATATATATATATTATATATATATATATTATATATATATATATATATATATATATATATATATTTTTGTGTGTAACATTTAATTTGTTGTTTGTATTTTACATAATTATTTTGATATATAAGTGATAGACAATCAAAAAGGAATAAACTAATAGTAAATGAATATAATAAACAAACAACAAATATAGAGGGTGTTTGGGATATGAATATAATAAACAAACAACAAATATAGAGGGCGGTTGGGATTGCTTATAAAAAGTGCTTATTGGGCCAATAAGCCAATAAGCTCAAAATGTGTTTGGGTAAGTGAAAAGTGCTTTTAAATATGCTTTTCGGTAACAAAGGAAACGCAGCTTTTGAAAAGCAAGACCATCGTGGCTTTTTAAAGGCTTTTTGCTTCTTAAAATTAAAATTACCTTTATACCCCCACCCACCAATCGGCATTTATTCTTCACACCAACCATACAACTCGTTCTCTCCCTCTGCGCTCTCCCCTGTGCGTCGTTTCTGCATCGTAAGAGAATCTCCCGCCGTTGATAGCCGATCTCCGATCAAGACCACCGCTGCCACTGCCGGCGTCTACGACTACAGCCATTTCCGATCCGGTAAGTTTCGAACTGTTCATCATAAGCATTGTTGCTTCAGTGTTCCGATTTTCTCCCTTATGTGTTCCGATTTGCTCCCCTATGTGTTCCGATTTTGGATGTGTTCACGAAAAATTGATGAAATTTGTTAAGAAATTAAATGAAGTTGCTGTGAAGTCACATATAGCAGTTGGATTTTTTTTACTGTGAAAATTTGTTTTGTTGGAATACTCATTCATTTGACCGATACATCTCAACTTCATTTTTATGGTTTGATTTTTTCATGAAAAAATTATGAAAATGGTGAAATTAGTTTAGAAATTGAATGAAATTGTTGTAAAATCACATATAACAGTTGGAATACTCATTCATTTGACCGATACATCTCAACTTCACTTTTCTAGAAAAACACTTTTAAGTACGCACTCCCAAACACCCTCATAGTAGGGTCATGGTGTAAAGAAACAACAAGTTAGACTGTATTTTTCTCATAAAATGAATATTACAGGCAATATTAAATAGTTTGTGATACAGGTTTCAAACACCCAACCCTAAAACGCATCCTCTGTAATACGACGCCACCTCTCCATAGACGCAACTTCTTCCACCCTCTCCATCAGCGGTCTCCGGCGCTTCTCCTTCCTTTGCCGGAACCGCTGTCCATCGAAGTCTTCATTGTGTCTTCGTCGGAGTTTCCTTCTCCATCACCATGTTTGTTTTGTTTTCCCTGAAATCAAATTTTTTGGAGTCTCATGAAAAAAATTCTAGATAGATTCTTTAGTTTATGATATTATACATGATAGCTTCGTTATTTCCTGAAATTGATTTTGTGAAGCTGATTGTTACTTGTGATGTTTGTGGAGTCTGATATACATGTTGATTCTGATTTTGTTATTTATGATTTTGTGAAATTGAGTTTATGTTTTATGTTAATCTGATTTGTACCTTGCACTATGATACAAAAGTTGATATCTTTGTTGTTATTTATGATATGTAGATTGTGTCACAGAAGAAGCAAATCTCTTTCCATCAAACTAATTCAAAAGTTGCAAAGGTAACAAATCATGCATTGAGATTGAATAGCGCAAAAGACCCAAGGAGACACATACAGATCATGCATTGATCATCATACACTCTTATTTGGTTTCAATCAATATATATCTCATAATCTGCAATTATGATCTTCAAAATTCCAAGTTATTCTATTTTCCTTTTGTATATTCTTGTTTGTTTTCTGTTTCCTTTTCAAATAACAGCAATGTAAGTCTTTGGCTGCTTAATCCTCATAAACATGTTTACAACTCAACCATAACTAATATACTATTTTACATTGTATAACTTATAGCTTTAGGAGCTATCACACTTATTTATTTGCTTATTTTATTTTTTTCATAAAAAACAATTCCATTTATTTTGGAAATGGTTATGGACAAGAAATAGCATATTACTGCTTAGGGAGAAGAGTCATTTTTCGTATGATTGTCCTAAAACTGCTATAAATTTGTCTTATTATCAAACCATTAAAATTCTGTTTTTTGGCAGATAAAATTGATCTCTCAGTAGATAAGAAAAACAACCAACTCTTCACCTCCTTCTCAAGCAATGGAATTCTTGGAAGCAAAGGAGATCCAAGTCGGAATTGCTGTTGCCATTGTTGCTGTTGTTGCAACTGCAGCCTACTTATATACCTCAAAGAAAAGCAAAGGTGTTTTTTATTTCCATTTCAAACAATTTAACTTGTGCAACTATTATTTTCCAAGCTTCAATTTCCCATGGTTTCCATCTGTATCATCTATAAAAACTAAATAAGAAAGTATTGTTATTGTGCTGTGAGTAGTAGGGAGCATAGACCCTGAAAATTTTAAGGAATTCAAGCTTGTGAAGCGCACACAGCTTAGCCATAATGTTGCAAAGTTCAGATTTGAGCTTCCTACACCTACTTCGGTCTTGGGCCTTCCTATTGGACAACACATAAGTTGCAGGTATATTTATTTATTTTCTTCACTCAATCTAATATATATATATATATATATATATATATATATATATCACATGTTATCTTTAAGTGGTTTGTGCTTTCTACAATTATTTACCTTGTTTTGTTTTGTACTGTAGGGGTAAAGATAGTCAAGGGGAAGAGGTTATCAAACCATACACCCCAACCACCCTTGACAGTGATGTGGGATATTTTGAGTTAGTTATTAAGGTACACATCAATATTAAAATTTGATGCACTTTTTGATCTTTAATCTTGTTGTATAAATATATCATATATATATATATATATATATATATATATATATATATATATATATATATATATATATATATATATATATGTGTGTGTGTGTGTAGATGTATCCACTAGGTCGGATGTCCCACTACTTTAGAGAGCTGCGTGAAGGTGACTATATGGCTGTAAGGGGACCCAAGGTACATAACCTCCAATTCTTGAATCTTCTTTTTCTAGAATGTTTGCAATTCATACTTCCATCTATAATATAATTTCTGTAAATTCCAATTCCATTCCAGGGGCGTTTCAAGTATCAACCGGGTCAGGTGAGAGCTTTTGGAATGCTTGCTGGAGGCTCTGGAATCACTCCAATGTTTCAGGTCTTTATTTATTTTTTTAATCTCAAGTCTCAACACTCAACAGGCTTGGCTTGGTTGTATAACTATCATAATTTAATATTTTTTTTTATTTCAATGTAGGTTGCTAGAGCTATACTAGAAAACCCAAAGGACAACACCCAGGTGCATCTCATATATGCTAATGTCACATATGATGACATCCTTCTTAAGGTGAGTAATTATAAGACTTGTCCATATTATTTTAATTATAAATAAACATGGCTTTTATTTAAATTGAGTGATTTTCAGGAAGAACTGGAGGGACTTGAAGCTAAATACCCAGGGCGTTTCCAAGTCTACTATGTGCTAAATCAGGTATTATTCAGATGAATCCCAGTGTATAACCAACCAAACTGTTTTGTTTTGTTATGTAATGTCATGTGTTGTCCTTTTGCAGCCACCAGAGGAATGGACAGGTGGAGTTGGTTTTGTATCAAAAGAAATGATCCAAGCCCACTGCCCCGCACCTGCACCCGATATCAAGGTACCATTCAAACATGTTTTCAATTTTTTTTTTTTTAAATAAAATATGAGAATTATATTGTGAAAAAAAAAAACATGCAGATTCTAAGGTGTGGGCCACCACCAATGAACAAGGCCATGGCTGCTCATCTAGACGCATTGGGATATTCAGCAGAGATGCAATTCCAGTTCTAGTTCTAGTTCACTATTCACATACGCCATGGATTCTACATATTGTTGCTCTATTTTTAAGAATACGAACATGCTACTACTTAATCATGATGGACTCTATAATATACTCGAATAAAGTTTTTGCCATTGATGTTGACCATCACAACATGCAACATATGCATTTTGTTTGGAATCTTTTATCCCTCTTTCATAGCTTGGGTAGAGGGGAAGTTGGTTAACTTTTACTAACAAACAAAAACATCACTATATATATATACTTCATAACTTCATCTTGTTGCATATGAAAGATAGGGTGAAAATATATAATGGAGGTCTTAGGTTCAAAATCTGGGTACGTGTCTTGACGGGATTTACATCTCAAATGATTTGATTAGTTCTCAACCATTTTATTATATTATCTTAATTTTTTTGGCAATAAAGCACAAATGTAACAAATTCTATAGGGTAACAAACTAACAATCATGTGAGAAGTAGAATTAAAAAAAAAAAATCACTTTGAATTATTTATTTAAATGTTATCATCGTTCTATATATTATAATAAATTTAGTCTAATGTCTAAATCTTTTCTTTTGTTCTATATTAAAAAAATGTATATTCATCTGCCCAAAATTTAAATATCTAAGGGGAGGACTATAACACCTGCCTCATTGCAAAAATGTAATTAATTGTTGCTTCTTTATATTCATTTATGTACCACCTTTAGGCCCAACACATTGCAATTTTTTTATTACAACTTGTAAAATGTTGTAAATTGTATGTATTTTTTTTAAAGACTTTTATACTTATTTATGAACAATGACGTCCAACTAAAACAAATTATTATCACAAAAATACTTTAACAAAATTAATGTTATTTTCAAAGGGTCAAATGCAAAAATATGAGATGTAATAATGTCGTAAGAAACATTCAAATTATTTTTTGCATAGTTGATAATTGCATACCAGATTAAATTGGTCCATTTTGATATATAATCAGAAAAATGTGAAGGAATATTTTTTATTAAATAATAGTTACATTTTCTATGTCATTATATTGCTCTTAGCATGATATCCGTTTAGTACTAGGATTAAACCAACTAATAATTTGTTTATGAAAGAAATAAAGATTTGAGTTTTTAGGCATGTATCTTTTGTGGAGTACTAGACAGATGCATGTTGCTAACTTGCTATTGAAGAAACATTTTCAAAATGTGAAAAGTCGAGTTTAAGTTTAGTAGCGAGCGATTTTTGGTCATTTAGTTTAGAACAAATTCCATGAATGCACTGTATTTTTTTTTTCTTTAAATTTACTTACCGAATCTATTTTCTTCCGGTTTAACCACTAGGAGTTTTGTTTTTATCTTTCATGAAAACCACTACATAAAAATTTGGATTTCATAAAAACACTATAGCTTGGAATTTGTACGGTTAATTACTTAATTATTTTTTTTATGATTCAACCATTGAAACTTTCAAAAAAAAATTTCTAAAAAAGAAAATAAATTCAACAAAAATTTGTTTCAATTGGTGTTTGCTACTCATTATTGGAAAAAGAACTCGGTAGTTTTTTTTTTAATCTATGTTATTTTAATTTATCAACCGTGGTTTCCACGAGTAATAACATATATATATATATATATATATATATCTATATATATATATATATATATATATAATATATATATATATACTAGAGGTAACTTCAATTGAGAAAATAAAAAATGTTGAGAATAGGGGAATCATTCTCAGCCACTCATTTATTTTTGCCGCAAAAGCATACGTTGTACCAGCGGAAATGGATAAGGAATACACATGTGTTTCCAACAAAACATGTTTACTTAAACTATGCTAACAAAAACATAGTTTTTTTTTGTGTTTTTTTAATTTTTAAGAAGCTATTTTATCGAATACCAAAATTCATGATTTTTTATTCTCTACAAATGGACATCCATATTGATATATTTTTAAGATAAAATAAAAACTTTATTTTTTTTTATATTTTCAGCTATCGTTATTCATAAGTGAATAAAAATGCATCAGATTTTTGCTACAGTACATTCGTTATTCACTTTTGAATAAAAATATATAATTATTTTTTTTACAGTTTAAGTATCATTTATACTACTTATTCATATATCAATAACAAATTAACTGTAACAAAAATCTGATAAATGTTTTATTCATATATGAATATAAAATATGACGACAACTAATACACGTTTTATTCATATATAAATATAATATATGACGAAATATGATGTAAAAAATATATTTTAAGTAAGAAAACTTTATTACGTGTCATATTCATATATGAACGATACTTAAACTATAAAAAAAAAAGTTAAGCATACGTTTTATTCATAAGTGAATAACTAATGTACTGTAATAAAAATCTGATAGATTTTTATTCACTTATGAATAACGAGAGCTGAAACGCAAAAAAAAATAAATTTTTTATTTTATCTTAAACCTATATCAATATGGATGTCTATTTATAGAGAATAAAAAATTATGCATTTTGATATATTATAAATAATTTTTCGATAAAAAATGGCTTTCTAAAAATTAAAAAAAAAAAAAAAAAAAAAATATTTTTTTTGTGTATATTAAGGTAATGATTAGCATAGTTTAAGGAAACAAGTTTGATTGGAAAACACATTTTTATCCGTTATCCATTTCCGACGGTACGTCTAAGTGTTTTGCGGGAAAATAAATGTGTGGATGAGAATGATTCCCCCATTCTCAACATTTATTTTTTCTCAATTGAACCCTCTCTCTCTCTCTCTCTCTCTCTCTATATATATATATATATATATATATATATATATAATATATATATATATATATCTATAATAGAGAGAGAGCGAGAGGGTTCAATTGAGAAAAAATAAAGGTTGAGAATGGGGAATCATTCTCATCCACACATTTATTTTCCCGCAAAACACACACCACACACACACACACACAACACATATTATATATATATATATATCTAATATATATATATATATATATATATATATATATATATCATTACTATATATAAAAGCCCTTTTTTCCTAGGGCGCGTAAATCAAATGCACACGGTTCCAAATACGCCACGTACCCTACCTTACGAGCGGTGCCATCTACATCAACGACGATCCAGAATGTCACATCTTTAGCCCTCCTCCGTTTGAACTTCTATAGATTTACGGATCCACGTCCACCGATTCCCCTTCTGTTCTAACCGCAACTTGGGTTTCCTCCCCAAGAAGAATTCCAACCACATTATCAACAAAACAATTTTTTTTTCGCCAGTTAGAGGAATTACGTTTTGTATCAAAAGAATGAGACACAAACATGGGCAATGAATTTCCCTTCCTCTTTCTTTGTCTACAAACAAGTCATCGTTGGAGGCTGTGGGTGTCTCGTTCTTTGATCGATTTGATTGGTAATCTCAATCTCAACATATTATCACTCTAGGATATCAGTTGGTCGATAATTTCAAAACGTGTTTGAATTTCATCGAATAAGTTTGTGGTTTTTTTGTGGACACCGTTGATTTCATGTGTATACTCGATGGGGTTGATCTAATATTTTTCGCTATATTAGCGTTTTGGGATTTCTTGTTTTTCAGGATTGTCGTTGTTGAAGTTTCATGATGGAATTGGGAGGATCTTTTAAGGGGTTTTATTGTCTAAAACCATTCTTCAATCTTGTTGGTGATCGACAAAGGTTAAGCATCTCATTAGCAACTCTATTTTATCCCTCAGAATTTTCAATTTCCTTTCTTTTCAAGAAGTTATTAGTCCTTCTTTCACTGAAATCTCCCTTATGTTCCAAGCTTCTGGTGCCCTAATTTCCATTTTTCTAAACCGCCAATGGTCCTCCCCCTCACCTACTTTGAGAAATTTGTTCTATTTTGTAACTAAATTGTTGTATATTTAGGTTTTTACTGTTTGCGTTATATTGAATATCATAAGCGTTCGGTTATGGTCACATCAGGAAAAACCTAATTGCATCTTTAAAATGATTTATGTTCTACTTTCCATGAGAATCTCCATGACAACTGCATTACGTCTAATGAAAAACTCTTACTATCTTTCTGAGGTTGATTATTATATTTCTGTTACAAAAAACTCTTATTCTTTCTTTTCTTTGTCTTAGTAGCAATCGATAAATTAGTGGGTTATAATGTTTTGCGATGCTATTGTGTTTCACATATCAAAGGTAGGGATTGTCTAATTAAAGTCCTAACAGAATGAAAAATCAATTTGGCATGGAATTCCTGTCAATAAGATACACTGGACCTACCTTTTCAGTAAATTACTTGGATGACATTCATGATTGTTGATACTTGATAATCAACCCCAACAACAAGGCTTCATTTCATTGGAAATACTAAGTTTGTTAATCCTATTCTTTAAACCTGATTGCTTTGATGCCGAGCACTTTGACTTTAGGATTACATGTAAATAGAGAAAAAATTTATTTATCTCCATTTTTAATTCTTATTATCTTTACGATTAGTATGTATAAAACACCCATATTTTGACGTAATCATCCAGAATGTCCAGTAGATCTTTAAAAAATAGTAGTTACAACATTTAAGTAAAGATGATTAAAACTCATCTATTATTTTATCCTTTTGTGGACAAAACAAAATATCAAATCTTATATGTAAAAATCAAATTCATCTGTATATGGATTATGTTTAAATCCAACTCCAGTGACAATCTCATCACAGTCAACTTATATGATCATATTTGTATTGAAGGTTAACATAAGGATGTATAGACATTCAGTATAATATTAGCACTAAATGTATTAGAACAATATCAAATTCCATAATTGAGTATTATTTGGATTCAGTATTTGTTAATAACATTATATTTCAGCCTTAATAATTCAGGTTTTCACTAAAAGCCATGAAAGTTATGTACGTTGTGGCATTAAGAACTGAAACAAGTTCCATAATCAACACGACTCCCCTTGCGCAAATCAAGGCTATATCTCATAAAGGCAAAATAATTAGTTTTTTTTAATACTCATATCGGATGATAATATACATAATATTATTTATGTATATATATCATGTGTATTTTGTATTTTATTTTATGATTTGAAACAGCTCATGTAGAACTATTACACGTTGAGGAAAGATTTCTCTCTAAATTGA